CCCTAACTCTATCTGGAACGGATGGAAACCGTGCATATTCTGTTCCAATTGAATCGTTCACAATACTACACTTTGTGCATTCCTGTGTACGTTTGTGTTAAGATGTATTAAGTAATTGGAAAGACGCTCAATGAAATTGGCAATAGCTAGCGGAGATCTAACTAATAGCTAGCGGGTATCTAACTAAATTTTTTAATAGTTTAGCAAAATTCTTCTTTCCATGTACCCTAAAAAATTCATTTTAAGGGTACATTCTGGTGTAAAATTTTCAAAAAAACATCTATTTTTATTGCATATTTTAATTGTACAATATTTTAAGAATACACTGTCAAAATTTCAAGAAGAAATTCGAAGAATTAACGGTTCTACAGCCTAGAGATCCTATAATAAGAGTTTGACCAAAGCGGATCAAAGATAGCGGTTAGAAGGAGATATTACTTTCTTTCTCGTATTACGCATGCGCAGAAAGCGTGACACCGTATCTGAACGGCATTTATTTACTGAATATAATTCATTTTATATTTATTAATTTTAAATTAATTAATTGTGTATCTTGAAATGGGTGAGAATTTTCACTTCATTTCGAGATACACAATCACCCCCCTGATTAGAGTTATCTGTCTCTTTCTATTCTTCGAACTCGTTTTCCGACAATGTACGAAGCTATCCGAAGAATACCTAATGGATCGAGATAGAGAATCAGAAGTTGTGTCCGCTTTGCCTAAACTCTTATTGTAGGATCTCTACTACAGCCAAAAGAGGGTGATCCCGATTGACCACGGCTCGATTGGACACCACCAATCACAGCGACCAGGTGCCTAGGAACTTTGTAGTCTCAAGCGCTGTGAGTGGCTCGTGTCCAATTGAGCCGTGTCCAACTGGGTGCCACCCTCTCTATCCTACAGCCAATCAACACGCAGGAAAAGCTTGTCGTACGACAAAAACGCACAAATGAAATATCGGCCTTAACCCGCGGCCCCGCGCTTTTCATCCTTTACGTTCAGCAGACTCAATAGTTTTGCAACCGTTTTGTGATTCTTCGCTGAGATAGGACGATTCCTTTAAATCTAAAGGCCGTTCTACAATAAGTTGCAAACACCCCGTTGCCAGTCGCAAAGGTTGGCAACTACTATATTGGCAAAGTGCTATTTCCGGTTGCAATAGATAGTCGCGGTTGCCAACGGAGAGTTGCCCAATTTTTAACTCCTTGGCAACAGCAACTGTCTACCGTAACATCTTAGCCAATCAAATATTGTGTTCGAAAAGCGCGAAGAGTGAAATGAAAGTTGTTGTTATATATTGGTGGTGTTTGATTTATTTCATTTTCATTTCGAGAACATCTCGAATATCTATCAAAGACATGAAAATGGACTGCGCGATCTGTGTGTCAAAATGGTCGATAAGGATGAGAGAGAGGGACCGTGGTAGACGGCCATTTCTATCTCTTTCCATTGAATGGTGTAATGGGAGAGGGAATGAGAGGGAGATTGACCGTCTCCCACGGTCCCTCTCTCTCATTTTGTCGATCACATTTGATACACTACTTAGATACGGATCGCGCAGTCCATTCTATGTCTTTGATATCTATCACATAACCTGCTTGATATATTCTCTTCGATTTTTCAGCTACAGCAAATAACGACGGACGTTCTACTTTCTGAATGGCTGTTTCAATATAAATCGCAACTTTCGATATCCAAATGTGGATTAGGGGCTCTATTCTTGAAAAGAAACGTATACGAAAGTCTAGGGAAATACTATAGTATACGTAACATATACTGTAGCATTTCCCTTGACTTTCGTATATGTTGCTTTTCAAGAATAGAGCCCCAGGTGTTGCAATAGTTTACAACTTGTGATTGGCAACTTGTCACTCCGCAACTGGCAACGGGGTGTTTGCAACTTATTGTAAAACGGCCTTAAAAGTATAATCGAATCAGCGCGACGAATCAAGGCCCGTCTACAATACACGTAGTAAGGGCCTGCGCACAATAGAGGAACAAGAATTAGATATTAAGATTTCAACCTATCAGAAACCGTGTATTCCGATGTAATCAGTTTCTGATAGGTTAAAATCTTAATATCTAATTCCTGTTCCTCTATTGTGCTCAGGCCCTAAGAAGTAAGAGTAAGAAATTGACCAATCAGGCGTCGTCTACAATACACGGAGTAAGAAGTAAGAGTAAGAAATTGACCAATCACAGTCGAATGTGAGAAGAATAATCGACTGTGATTGGTCAATTTCTTACTCTTACTTCTTACTCCGTGTATTGTAGACGGGCCTTCACAGTCGAATGTGAGAAGAATAATCGACTGTGATTGGTCAATTTCTTACTCTTACTTCTTACTCCGTGTATTGTAGACGGGCCTTTAAACGATTGCAAAACTGTTGAGTCTGCTGAACGCAGCCATTC